TCAGCAAACAATGGCAGGCCTATTAAGATTCATTGTAATGCAAATATTCTACCAGCAAGTGCACTACACTGACAGCTTCTGATATGCCTGCCAACATGCAAACATCCTCAGCTACACAACGGCTGGCTCTTTGAATAGTGCAGAGTAAACAAATGAACTTAAAGTAATGGAACCCACTCAGCATATTCTTCTTCCTGCCTTGAGTTCATAAAGGAAGTGTTGATTATTGGACCTGTGCTATATTAGTTTGAATGGATGATGGGACACAGGTAACAGTCAAACCACAGAGAAAATACTTTTGCAGAACAAAAATAAAAACTTTGTAATAGCAATATATTTACTTTGATAATTTAGTGTTCTATAAAAGAAGAATTTATTCTCTCTTAACCTTCAATCCACCTCTTCAACATCACATGTGAGTCTAGTAGAGTAGCCCTGGACTGGCAGACCGGGGACCAGACCAGAACGGTGGTAAAATGAGTTTCAGATTCCATATTAAAATTGCGGGATGGTAATCTGACTCTTAGAGTTACGGTTTACAAGTTAGAAATCCATTTGGTTGAAATTACTCCATAACAGATAGTTGTGAGATGATGGCGGTCAAGCAAAATGAAGGGGTATGTCAGGTAACAGAGTGGAGGGTGTATTTACACCTCAGCCACAACCGAGCTGGTTTAGGCTTAACCCGGCATCCTCTTTCTCCCTCTTTTAATAAGAGAGAAAGGAAGGCAGAGGTAAACTCAGACTATCTGAACTATATAAAGGGTGGGGTCGGGGCCCTCAGAGGCCTTAGGGTTAGGTATTGAAGCCACTGAGATTAGCGTCAGTCTGGATGAGCTGATCAGGAAGGCCAGCTGTGATTGGATGCCCTCTGGACTCAGTGCAGGAGGTGGGAAACAGACGGATCCTAACTAAATGAACATATCTGCTGGTTCAGCTGGTGCTGAACTGGACAGCTCCTTCAGTGACAGACTGCTGCACCTTAAATGCCCCAGGGAGCGTTATCACAGATCCTTCCTCCCAGCAGCTGGAAGACTCTAGAACCACCACTGTTCCAAACAACCTCAACCAGTTTCTACCTTAGTCAGTTAAATAACCTGCTGCTGTCATTCTGCACATCTCTGATGTTGCTGATAGTTTCAAATATCCATTACTGGAAAAATGTCCACAGCTGTTATAGATTTTTTTTAATCTTCAGATACAGAGCATTTATATTGTAAAAACACTTTATATTACAGTACTGATTTGTTTATTTTCTTAACTCTATTACGTATTCTGTTACTTCTATACACTTTGGTAAATGTCCTGTACTTATATAACGCCTTTATTCAAATCAAGAGACTTGACCAAAGCGCTTTACACTACATTCATTCACCCATTCATGCTCACACTCACGGTGGCAAGCTACATTGTAGCCACAGCTGCCCTGGGGCTCACTGACAGAAGCGGGGCTGCCGTACACTGGCGCCACCGGGCCCTCTGACCACCATCAGTAGACAATGCAGGTGAAGTGTCTTGCCCAAGGACACAACGACACTGAAAGTCGGAGTCGGGGCTTGAACCGTCAACCCTTCGATTTCAGGGTAAACTCCTACACCCGACGCCACTGTCGGGTGGCGTCGGGTGGCGTCGGCTAACCCTAACCCATTGAGAGTCAATAAGGGCAAGGCAGTGTCTTGCCCTCGACCAAAATGAAATAAATTAGAAAATATTCCCAAAGGAGTAACTCGTGATAATCTAATAAAAATAAAAATAACTCCAATTGGGGGAAAAGTTAAAACAATTAAATGTGGTCTGTTTAACATAAGATCTCTTTCCTCTAAAAGTCTGCTAGTTAATGACTTGATTTGTGATAATCACATTGATTTATGTAGCCTGACAGAAACCTGGCTGCAGCAAGAGGATTATGTGAGCATAAATGAGGCAACTCCTTCAAGCTATTTAAATTTTCACATCCCCAGAAGTTCTGGGCGAGGAGGAGGAGTAGCAACAATCTTCCAGTCTGACTTACTGATTACTGATAATAACAGTATTTCCTCACAACCCTGTCCTCTCTGACCACTTTTTAATAACCTTCAGGATTACTTTAACAGAGTTCTCATCCCCCCTTTAGTAGATCTTTATCAGATAGTGCAGATATACATTTTAAAGAATCTGCTTCACTTTCTCTCTCCTAAGTGTTGCAGCAGGTTGCAAACATGGGCTCATATACTGGACATGTAGATTAAAAGACGGATAAAGAATTTTGTAAGCAGATCATTGACAGATGGTTAATATGCAGGGATTGCCAGCAAACATAATACTTCTGCAGATAATGCATCACAAAGAAAGTATGTTTTAGCAAGAAGTAAAACTTTTCTTTCATCACCTCACAAAAGTTGATGTCATGCTACCTGAACTTTAGGCTTTGCTGGTTGGCCATTTGATCTCCGTCAGATCGGGAAAATATGGCCACATTGTTTTCATCTGTCAATTAGTTTCGGGTCAATTTAACGGTTTTTCTTGAGTTCAAATTCAAATTTTTATAGAAAACAGTAGTTTTAACTTAACTAAAAACATGAATCAGTGCCCCCCTGCTGTAACAACCCCCCCATCCAGGGAAATGTTACCTCTATGACATCACTTTGCTTTGAAATGTTTTGCCTTCTAACTTTGATCGATTTATAAGCAATAACTTATGTTGCAATGTACTGATGTTGCTAACGCAAGTAAGCTAACCATATTGTTAGCATAACTTAGGTCAGGGAATTAATCAAGTGATTGGTTTGAATATAGAAATATACCAGGAGCGGTTCTGGGCGGGGCTTGTTGCCAGGGGCAGCTGACAGCAACACATCAAACCAGATCATATCCGGGTCAATCAACTTGCTTGATATCATAAAAATAAAATCAAAAAAGGATAATGAGCGTTATTCATTTTTTCCATGTTCGATTTTATGCACAAAATCGAAAAACGGATGACGGATCATTATTTGTTTTTCCTTTTTTGTTTTGAAAACAAATATTGAGAAAACTAGTGAATTTTTGCATTTTAAATTTTTGGTTTTAATTTGAAAAATGAAAGAAAGAATGATACATGGATTCACCAGGGAGGAGTTTGGGGAGATGGTGGACGCTGTTTAGCCGCAGGTGTCTGAAACCGAGGTTTTACCATCTACTGTTGTCATGTTGGGTTCAAGGCATCTAACCCACGTGCAGTAATCACTCTTGGAAACAGGGAAAAAGGTTAAATGATTTATTTACAATGTTCACAAGTAAAAGGTGCTCAGGTTCTTGGTTCTTCGGACTGGTCATGGGAGGAAAACCACTGAGGAGGACAGAGCAGTTAGAGTTGATCCAGGAAACTTGCAGTTTACAGATGACGGGGTTAAATACCTGCTCTGAGTGTTATCTGATCAGCAGGGGGGGAACCCTGAGGGTCCAGAGGCTAGTCGGCAGGCTGAGGCAGAGACTGAACTGAGTGCAGGCAGGCAGATTCCAGACAGAGATATTTTCTCCAGGGTTACAGGTTTCCAGAAAAGTCAGGATCTGTGAAGCAGAGAGATACAGGGTCAGACAGGTTCACAAAATCAGGGTTTCAGATCAGGCAGGCTGGCTCAGGTTTTGCTAACCATTACTGGCAAACACTCTGGCAGGGAAGTGTCAGCCTCCTCCTCCTTAAATAGGATTTCTGATGAGCAGACAGGTAACAGGTGTGTAGAAGTGAGCTCATGCCCTCAGGAGGAAGATTTCAGGCGCCCTCTGGTGGAGAAAGTGTACAAGCCTCCAGATCCCAACAACTTACTACATACTAGTCTAGAATTGGGGGCTGTTGCAGGTTCAACATTTTTGTGTATCTAAGTTGGTTTTGGGGATTTTGAGATTCTTTTTAAAAATGGGTAAAAATCTGATTAAAATTCATGTAAATCTTTGTCACATATTTATATGGTTCCTTGTTATCTTTACACTTTAAAAGAGAATAAAAAATATCTTAACTTAATGGTATAGAATAAGTATTACTTTGAGTATAACTATATAAAATAGCCTTTGACAGAGAACTAGAGCGTTAGCAGGTCCATGTTGTGCGTATCTGGTGTTTATCAATGTAAGCATCATTACATTTGGGGAAGTTACCATGCAGAAGCAGCCAAGCTGAAAAGAGAATATATTCATCAGCAACCCCTCCATAATTAATAAGTGCAGAGTTAAAAGTGAATATGTATCAGAGAAGCATGGGCTGCTGACTAATGGTCTCACTGGGACTATCAATAGTGTAATATATTTTTAGCTGAAATACAAACAAAAAATTCCAACTCTGATCTGCAGTTTCTACCATTACAAGCCTGTTAATATTGTGCATTAAGTTTTGTGCCTGGGCTGGAGGAGTTGCTGCTCATTAACAGTTGGGCTTTTTCCTCAAACTAAGGATTTGGATTTGTAAGAGCTTTTAAAAAGTTAAGGTTGGCTTTCTATGTCACAGTCTTGGTTTTGTTATGTTTTTCAGTTTTACTTTGCTCCTTGTTTTAGTGTTTAATTATTATTTTGTTGTTTTCTTGTTAGTTCCTGTCTTCCAGGTTTTCCATTTGTTGTCCTCTGCTGCCCCCTTGTGTCCTCTTTCCCTTGCTCTGTTTTCTGCTCTGTCCTCACCTGTTTCCAATCCCCTCGTTAGCCCTCTCTTTGTCTCTGTCCCCTTTAAAAGCCCTCCCTCTTCAGTTCCTGTTTGCTGGATCCTCGTCTAACGTCTGTCTGCTTACCTCGTCTCTCCCTGGCTCCTAGTGTTTCGTTTCCCCTGATGTCTCCGTGGTTCTGGTTTGTTTGTTATTTTTGTTGGATTTTTGATTCCTGCCACTGTCCCCGTGAACCTCATGAAAACCCACCTAAATTCACCTCTGCCTACTTGCCTCTGCTTTTGGGTCCTCAATACAACACCAAATCGTGACATTCTAAATGCAAAATCCACTCTACATAAGTGGTTAATCTGTGTTTTTGTCTGCCCTGTTATTGTCTTCCTCCCTTTGCAGCCTGTGAAGTGGGTTTCTATAAGCCAGTGGCAGGTGATGGGCCATGTGGTAAATGTCCTCAGCACAGCCACTCAGAGACCAGAGCTGCAGTCTCCTGCCCATGTGACTCCAACTACTATAGGGTGGCAGATGACCCATCAGCTGCTCCATGCTCCCGTAAGCACAGACACAACATAACCAACAGTACCTGTAGATGGATAGACACTCACCAAACACATGCTGGTGCTGTAAATGGGCAATGTCTACAGTGCTGTGAAAAGTAAATGCCCCTTTCAAGTTTCTTCTGTTAGTGCTCCCAAATGTTGAGTTTATTTTTATTTTATGTTCAGTTTAACATTAGCTAAATTAATATCTAAGTAATTATAAACTACTTAGTAAATTAAAGAGGGAAGAGTACATGAAAAGTGTTTTGAAGTGTTGGCCTAGTGGTTAGAGCAGTATGCTTGTGCTCTGAGAAGGTTGCAAGCACTGATACGCAAATCAGGCAGCACACTATTTTGGAACCAAGCCCCCCCACCCCAAGCATGGACCCAAGGGAAGCCCACTGCACAGACCCCAGGCCCCCAAACCCATTCCAGATCCACCCCGACGGGACAGAAGCACCAGACCAGTAACCATGTCCGCTACAGCAGATTCCCGAAAGGCTTTGGACCCAGCGACCAGAAGTTCAACCCTGGGGCACCAAATAACCCCAATAGCAGAAGCAATCCCGCCTATATCTGACCCCTAACCCCCCAGCCACCCCCTTTCGAAGCCTTCAGACCCCAGAGGCTCTAAATCTGCCACAGTAGCCTACCAGACCGAGCTATAGCCCACATCTCCTACTAGGAAAGGTAGCCTATTAAATGTGTCCAGAGAGAGTACCCAGTATTGGGAAAACAAAGACTTAGGTTAGACTCTGCTAAACTAAGCATGGCTAGAGTGCCCAGTATTGGCAAAACAAAAACTCAGGTTAGACTCTGCTAAACTAAGCATGGCTAGAGTGCCCAGTATTGGCAAAACAAAAACTCAGGTTAGACTCTGCTAAACTAAGCATGGCTAGAGTGCCCAGTATTGGCAAAACAAAAACTCAGGTTAGACTCTGCTAAACTAAGCATGGCTAGAGTACCCTGTTTTGGCAAAACAAAGACTTAGGTTAGACTCTGCTAATCTGAGCATGGCTAGAGTACCCTGTTTTGGCAAAACAAAGACTTAAGTTAGACTCTGCTAATCTAAGCATGGCTAGAGTACCCTGTTTTGGCAAAACAAAGACTTAAGTTAGACTCTGCTAATCTGAGCATGGCTAGAGTACCCTGTTTTGGCAAAACAAAGACTTAAGTTAGACTCTGCTAAACTAAGCATGGCTAGAGTACCCTGTTTTGGCAAAACAAAGACTTAAGTTAGACTCTGCTAATCTAAGCATGGCTAGAGTACCCTGTTTTGGCAAAACAAAGACTTAAGTTAGACTCTGCTAATCTAAGCATGGCTAGAGTACCCTGTTTTTGCAAAACAAAGACTTAGGTTAGACTCTGCTAAACTAAGCATGGCTAGAGTACCCTGTTTTGGCAAAACAAAGACTTAAGTTAGACTCTGCTAATCTGAACATGGCTAGAGTACCCTGTTTTGGCAAAACAAAGGCTTAAGTTAGACTCTGCTAAACTAAGCATGGCTAGAGTACCCTGTTTTGGCAAAACAAAGACTTAAGTTAGACTCTGCTAATCTAAGCATGGCTAGAGTACCCTGTTTTGGCAAAACAAAGACTTAAGTTACACTCTGCTAATCTGAGCATGGCTAGAGTACCCTGTTTTGGCAAAACAAAGACTTAAGTTAGACTCTGCTAAACTAAGCATGGCTAGAGTACCCTGTTTTGGCAAAACAAAGACTTAAGTTAGACTCTGCTAATCTAAGCATGGCTAGAGTACCCTGTTTTGGCAAAACAAAGACTTAAGTTAGACTCTGCTAATCTGAGCATGGCTAGAGTACCCTGTTTTGGCAAAACAAAGACTTAAGTTAGACTCTGCTAATCTAAGCATGGCTAGAGTACCCTGTTTTGGCAAAACAAAGACTTAAGTTAGACTCTGCTAATCTAAGCATGGCTAGAGTACCCTGTTTTGGCAAAACAAAGACTTAGGTTAGACTCTGCTAAACTAAGCATGGCTAGAGTACCCTGTTTTGGCAAAACAAAAACTCAGGTTAGACTCTGCTAAACTAAGCATGGCTAGAGTACCCTGTTTTGGCAAAACAAAGACTTAGGTTAGACTCTGCTAATCTGAGCATGGCTAGAGTACCCTGTTTTGGCAAAACAAAGACTTAAGTTAGACTCTGCTAATCTAAGCATGGCTAGAGTACCCTGTTTTGGCAAAACAAAGACTTAAGTTAGACTCTGCTAATCTGAACATGGCTAGAGTACCCTGTTTTGGCAAAACAAAGGCTTAAGTTAGACTCTGCTAAACTAAGCATGGCTAGAGTACCCTGTTTTGGCAAAACAAAGACTTAAGTTAGACTCTGCTAATCTAAGCATGGCTAGAGTACCCTGTTTTGGCAAAACAAAGACTTAAGTTAGACTCTGCTAATCTGAGCATGGCTAGAGTACCCTGTTTTGGCAAAACAAAGACTTAAGTTAGACTCTGCTAAACTAAGCATGGCTAGAGTACCCTGTTTTGGCAAAACAAAGACTTAAGTTAGACTCTGCTAAACTAAGCATGGCTAGAGTACCCTGTTTTGGCAAAACAAAGACTTAAGTTAGACTCTGCTAATCTAAGCATGGCTAGAGTACCCTGTTTTGGCAAAACAAAGACTTAAGTTAGACTCTGCTAATCTAAGCATGGCTAGAGTACCCTGCTTTGGCAAAACAAAGACTTAAGTTAGACTCTGCTAATCTGAACATGGCTAGAGTACCCTGTTTTGGCAAAACAAAGGCTTAAGTTAGACTCTGCTAAACTAAGCATGGCTAGAGTACCCTGTTTTGGCAAAACAAAGACTTAAGTTAGACTCTGCTAATCTAAGCATGGCTAGAGTATCCTGTTTTGGCAAAACAAAGACTTAAGTTAGACTCTGCTAATCTGAGCATGGCTAGAGTACCCTGTTTTGGCAAAACAAAGACTTAAGTTAGACTCTGCTAAACTAAGCATGGCTAGAGTACCCTGTTTTTGTCATGATCTCGGCGCTGATGGTTTGGTTTTTTCCTTTGCTCCTTGCTTTCCTGTCTAATTGGTTCTGCGGCAGATTATTGCCGATCATTTCCACCTGGTTACTCTACTATTTAAGTTGTGTGTTTGCCTCCCATCAGCGCCGGGTTATTCTCGTGTTTTTGAGATACGTTCCCCAGCAATCTGTAGTCTGCCTGTTTCCCTGATAGTGACCAGTTTCTGCCCTGAGGATTTCGAGTTTTTTGCCTTGCCCCTGTCTGCTCTGTTTGTCCTGTCTGATCCTGGATTCTACCGGCTTCTGAACCTGGAACTGTCGTCTGACTTCGGCCTTGGATTTCCCCTCTGGACTCTGTTGCTGCTCGGCGTCTGCTGCGCGCTCTCTAGGAACTCTGGGGGCGTCTCCCGCCGCACCTGCGGTCAAACCTCAGCAAACGGACTGAACTTTGAATCAGGTCAGTGACTTTGCTCCAAATCGTGTTAAGCTCCATATCCAGTCACTGATCTGTATTCTCCCATTTCTGCAGAGAGCCGCCCCGCAGCAGACGAGCAGCCCCGCGCACCTGTTTTTGCTAAATAAACGCTTTGAACTTTCCCACTGCCTGTCTCGCCTCGAATTCTGGGTCCTACATTCTGAGATCCTTACAGAATAACCCGGCCATAAACATGGACCCATCGGCAGACGGGCAGTGGCGAAATGACGTGGATCAGAGCATTTCCCGTCTAGAATCTGGCATGCAGGAGATCCTCAATTACCTGCGTAACCCGGCGGCTCCAGCTGCTCCGCCCCTGACAGCTGCCGCGCGCTCGTCTTCTACTGATAGTCCACCTTCTCTTGAACCGCGTCTGTCCCCTCCTGAAGTGTTTAAAGGAGATCCTGACCAATGCAGAGCTTTCCTCACTCAGTGCGAGATTCTTTTTGAGTTACAGCCCTCTGCGTTTCCTTCTGATCGTGCCAAGGTGGCCTATGTAATATCTCTTTTAGCGGGAAAGGCCAAATTATGGGGAACGTCAGAGTGGCTGAATGATCCTGAACTCTGCAGCTCGTTTGATGATTTTTCTTTGGAACTAATCCGAGTTTTTTGTCCAGTTCTTCCAAGTAGGGAAGCCTCCCGGGGACTATTGACTCTCAGACAGGGAGATCGGTCTGTGATGGAGTACATCACTGACTTCCATCTGCTGTCTGCCGATTGTTCCTGGAATGAGGACGCCCTCATGGATGTGTTTTTTTTTGGCCTGCGGGAAAGCATCAAGGATGAGCTTTCGACCCGCGACTACCCCCGGACTCTGAAGCAGCTGGAGGACCTTGCCAACCGGATCGACCTTCGCCTCACTGAGCGTCGCAGGGAGAGGAGAGCACTGACGACGGCCTCCCCTCAACCTGTTCTTCACTCCGCACCCTATGCTCCTGCATCAGCCCCTGGTCCGGCTCGGATGCCAGAGCCCGAACCGATGCAGCTGGGACGCACATGCCTCTCCAAGGAGGAGAGGGCACGTCGAATCAGCTGCCACCTCTGTCTGTACTGTGGCAGTGATGGACACTTCCTCAGTTCCTGTCCTTCCAGGGGAAAAACTAGGCTGGGACGCACCAGACTCGCTGCCTCCCCAGCTCTCCTGCTACCTAAGACTCGTTTGGTTTCTTTCAGAACCCCAGACCCTCCAGTAGCCTCGGCCCCGGCACCCCCGGAGCCTGGTCCGGATTATTTTTCTCCCCCTTCTTCTGAGTCTGGTTTGGTGGATTTTTATTATGGGGATAGAGAAGATCTTTATCCTTTCCGTTCATCTCCACCCACCAGATCCAGAGAGGGGGGCCCTGCCTTCACTGTCAGGCGCCTCCTCAGGTCTAGGAGGCTAGGCAGTGGGCTTCAGTATTTGGTTGACTGGGAGGGTTATGGACCTAGGGAAAGGTCCTGGATTCCGGCCCGGTTGATCCGGGATCAGGACCCCCACTACGGGGATCATCCTGATCAGCCTGTTGGGGCGTCTGGAATCCGCCCTTGAAGGGGGGGTTCTGTCATGATCTCGGCGCTGATGGTTTGGTTTTTTCCTTTGCTTCTTGCTTTCCTGTCTAATTGGTTCTGCGGCTGATTATTGCCGATCATTTCCACCTGGTTCCTCTACTATTTAAGTTGTGTGTTTGCCTCCCATCAGCGCCGGGTTATTCTTGTGTTTTTGAGATACGTTCCCCAGCAATCTGTAGTCTGCCTGTTTCCCTGATAGTGACCAGTTTCTGCCCTGAGGATTTCGAGTTTTTTGCCTTGCCCCTGTCTGCTCTGTTTGTCCTGTCTGATCCTGGATTCTACCGGCTTCTGAACCTGGAACTGTCGTCTGACTTCGGCCTTGGATTTCCCCTCTGGACTCTGTTGCTGCTCGGCGTCTGCTGCGCGCTCTCTAGGAACTCTGGGGGCGTCTCCCGCTGCACCTGCGGTCAAACCTCAGCAAACGGACTGAACTTTGAATCAGGTCAGTGACTTTGCTCCAAATCGTGTTAAGCTCCATATCCAGTCACTGATCTGTATTCTCCCATTTCTGCAGAGAGCCGCCCCGCAGCAGACGAGCAGCCCCGCGCACCTGTTTTTGCTAAATAAACGCTTTGAACTTTCCCACTGCCTGTCTCGCCTCGAATTCTGGGTCCTACATTCTGAGATCCTTACAGTTTTGGCAAAACAAAGACTTAAGTTAGACTCTGCTAATCTAAGCATGGCTAGAGTACCCTGTTTTGGCAAACACTCTGGCGTCGAGGTAGTGTCAGTCAGCAGCTTAAGAACACTCAACAGGTAATGAGGCAATGAGCTGCAGGTGTGCAGGGAGACCCAATGAGGGCGGGGCACCACCTGGTGGAGGAGGAAAGGAAACACAACAACAGACCACACAAACTGGATTCCTGACACTACCAAGGATAACAACGCATCATATAGGTTGATTTGGATGGCTCTATAAATGAATGAAATCAGCATTTTTGAACTTTTGTTCTGTCTTTTTAAACCACATCTGTGAGATTGCAAAATTAGTTTGAATTATAATATTTTAATCTGTAAAAACTTTAGGGAGCACTGTGTCTACGTTCAAGAAGGCAAAATCTCTAATTAAACTAAAACCTCTTTGTTCTTCCTCAGGCCCTCCATCTGCTCCAGTAAACATCATCTCTTCAGTCAACGGGACCTCGGTGATTTTAGAGTGGGACCGTCCTCTGGATACAGGGGGACGCAGTGACCTGCAATACAGCATACTGTGCCAGAAGTGCTCAGTGGAAGGAACCTGTGAAGACTGCACAGCTTCTCCTGGAGGCAGCAACGGGGGGAAGGTGGGTGGGGGGGCCAGCATTGGCCTGGGCGGAGGAGGCCTTGTGGAGCGCTCTGGCAGTGCGGCCGTTAGATTCATTCCTCGTCAGAGCGGTTTGACGGAGTCTCGAGTGACGGTGCTCAACCTGGTGGCCCATACCAACTACTCCTTCCGGATCGTGGCCACAAATGCCGTGACACACCTGAGCAATGAGGTGCCGCCTTATGCTACGGTCAACATCACAACAAACCAGGCAGGTATGGTTCATGAAACACAAACATCGAGTTGATAGGAATCAGACACACTTTGTAATCACATTCAGGTATTCAGCCATTATCTGATTTAAACATCAAATGTTACACGTGCAGGAGGATTACTTTAAGCTTCGGTTATACCGTTTGTTTCTCAGTTTTAAAGACAGTTTAATCTAAATTGTTCCAAATACTTTACAGCTACCAAATTACTTCCTGACACTTTATTATTCCCTATTTTTATTGAACAAAAGTATTTATAAGAACAAAACTGTATAAATATATATAATCCTCCACCACAGTTCTACTTTCTTTTTAATTTAGCATGAATATTTAAAGTTTATTAAACGTTTATTATCAGGCCTGTGGTTGTTTAAAAACAGGACGGGTCTCGTTTTGTTCATTTCCTGTTGTCACCATGTTCCATAATGTTATGGACGGACCTGGAGATGAAAACTGAGACAAATCCAGAGAGAGAAAAGGTTCCAAACATGGTACATGGACACAGTAGTAGTAAAATGCGCAAAGGTTTTAGTCACAAACCAAATTCTCTATTTCCACAGCAGCCACTCGGGGAGATTAGCTTCATCTCTTCATGATTTTGTGGTATGTTGCTTTGTCCCTGTGCCATGAATTTCTGAGGTTCTGACTAAGACAGAGAAAAGGTGATGGTTGCTCTGACTTATGAAAATGTAAACAAAACAGCAACTTATAGAGGAAAAAGAATGAATAATTTAATCCAATAGGATAAAATCTAAAGTTATGTGTGATTTTAATCTGAAATTAAATTTAACTAAATGAAAAACTAAGAGAAATTGATTTTCCTTTCCTCCAAAAATATTAATACACATGTATATCATTTAAAACATATAAACAATGAAATCAGCAATTTTCAAACCTTAAGTGTTTAAAATAAATAAACCTTACAGTTAACCAAATATATGGGATGTAGTTTGAGGAAATGCAACTAAAATATATAAAAGCTATGAGTTTATTAACTAAAATTATAGATTTGCAAAAATAAATAATTAATTGCTGAAGGATTTGAATCAAATAATATTAATAACAATTTTTGGCATATTTAAAACAATTATGTTTAAAAATGAATAAAACATAAAACCTGCTTTGATGGATTTAAATCAAGGATGATCAAACCAATAAAAAAACATCCTAACTTTCAGAATTAGGACTGAAAGATAGTTAAAATAATTAACCCTACAGTCTTTTATAAGCTGTTTGCTTAATTAAATTAGTTGAAAATAACCTATATCCAAGTATTTAACTTAAAGTTCCTAAAACAAATTATGAATAGTGATTTGTAGTTCTTTTGAAAGTTAAACGATGTGCTTTTAATGAAAAGGTTTTCAAAGTAGAGAAGGTATTAAACAGATTAAGATTCAGTATTAACAAAAGGAAAAAGAGATTTGCTTTGCTTTGTGAAAATGAATCTATTCAGATTCTTCAGACTTTTCGAATGACTGAGGATATTTCTGTTGCTTGTTTGACAGCCCCGTCTGAAGTGTTATCGATCCGTCAGGAAAACACAAGCCAGAGCAGCGTGACTCTGATGTGGCAGGAACCCGACCAGCCCAATGGGGTCATCCTGGAGTACGACATCAAATACTACGAAAAGGTTATTTAGCCCTGAAATAAGCCAGGAAATAGTTCAAACTCACCGACCTGCAAAACCATTTAGATGACTTATCAGGAAGTTGATTCAAGATTAAAAGATCAGCTCAATGTAATAAATATTAATTTGGGAAAAAAGATTTTTGGTTTTAAATAACTTGTATGGATTCTCCATCCTTTCCTCTGACTCTCCAGAATTAATTACAGAACTAAGAAATTGTCCAACTGGGTATAATTTAACTATTGTGTTAAAACTTCACAGATTGATTAGATAAGATTATTCAACAAACAGATTGGAACAAAGTTTCTGCCTCAAGTGGAGTATCTTCTGTTCTAGGGTGGGTGGCGGCCCCGTGGTTAGAGCCCCACTCCCACAGTCTGCTAATCTGGCTCCCTGAGCAAGACCCTTAACCTCACACTGCTCCCCAGGCTCCACACAATGGCAGCCCACTGCTCCCCAAGGGGAGGGGTTAAATACAGAGAGGGAATTTCCACATTGTGAGACAATAAAACGATTTACACTCAGCCCTTTTCTACTTTTCCCACCCCTGGCCTCCCTGGTCTGACCACCTCAAGTTAGATCACAGACTCTTTCTTCCAAATACAGATTCATTACATTTCAATTCAATAGATTTCTTTAGGGATGGCTGAAAACCCTAGCCTGGGTGCCATTCCGAACTTAGTCCCGCCCACAACGTTTGAGGTCGGGAAGTTCGGTCTGGCATTGCTCAATAGTAGCGCGAGTATGCTAGCACAATATCTGGCGGGCCAATCAAATTGTCAGGGCGGGCTTTATACGATGATGGACAGATGATCAACAGTAACGTAATCAACCACGTCACCAAAGCGTGCTTGGGTGATAACAACAATGGCTGCCGCTGGAGAGTTGAGGTGTGTAGATTCTGCTATTATGTCTGTGCTAGAAGATATCGACAGCAAAAGCTCATCTTCTTATTCTAGGCGTGCAACTGCACGCTTTGATTTTTGTTGCCAACAACTATGCGTCGCTTAACATACGTCACGCACTCCGTTGCTCTTATTGGTTGTAGGTCTATCCAATTGAGTGCAGAGGCATTTTTTTTCCTGGTCCGTTCGAAACACGCCCCATAATCACAGCTCTATAGAGCAGCATCAGACTCATATTCCGACTAGAATTGAGTAGGACTACGTCAGGCTATGAAAACCCTAGACTGTAAACAGGTTTCATCCATCTATTTTTTTCATGGTCAGATTCAAGTAATCATTAATTGAAGTACTTAAGAGCTTAATGCCGAGTCGTCTGGCCAGATCCCCGTCCATGAACTCGATGTCAGCTCCAGAGTCCACAAAAACTGAAAGACTAGGCCTGAAAGCATCGATAGAAACAGTCACAGGAAGCAGGAGTGAAGGAGGTGAAGCGATGATCAACAGGTCGCCGCTCTCTGCATCACTCCTGAAGGCAAAGGTCAATCCGGGTCGCCAACTCCTCCAGCTGCTTCAGGGAACGAGGATAATCCGAGGTGGAGAGCTCGTCCTTGATCCTCTCACTGAGGCCAGTGATGAACACATCGATGATGGCTCCTCATGCCAAGAACCTTCGGATGAATCCATGTTTGGCCACAATAATCTGTCAGAAGGCTTAGAACGCAGGACCCAGAATTCAGATGAGACAGACAGTAATAACTTCAAAGGCATTTATAGAAAACAGCGTGCTGCCGCTCGTCAGCTGAGGCCGCAAGTCAGTTCAGGCCGTTCGTCAGTTTAGGCCGCTCGTCATTTTAGGCCGCTCGTCAGTTTAGGCTGTTCGTCATTTTAGGCCGTTTGTCAGTTTAGGCCGCAAGTCAGTTGAGGCCGTACGTCAGTTTAGGCCGTTTGTCAGTTTAGGCCATTCGTCAGTTCAGGCCGCAAGTCAGTTCAGGCCGTTCGTCAGTTTAGGCCGTTCGTCAGTTTAGGCCGCTCGTCAGTTTAGGCCGTTTGTCAGTTTAGGCTGTTCGTCATTTTAGGCCGCATGTCAGTTCAGGCCGTTCGTCAGTTTAGGCCGCAAGTCAGTTCAGGCCGTTCGTCAGTTTAGGCCGCAAGTTAGTTCAGGCCGTTCGTCAGTTTAGGCCGCAAGTCAGTTCAGGCCGTTCGTCAGTTTAGGCCGTTCGTCAGTTTAGGCCGCTCGTCAGTTTAGGCCGCTCGTCAGTTTAGGCCGTTCGTCAGTTTAGGCCGCAAGTCAGTTCAGGCCGCTCGTCAGTTTAGGCCGCTCGTCAGTTTAGGCCGCTCGTCAGTTTAGGCCGTTCGTCAGTTTAGGCCGCATGTCAGTTCAGGCCGTTCGTCAGTTTAGGCCGCAAGTCAGTTGAGGCCGTACGTCAGTTTAGGCCGTTCGTCAGTTTAGGCCTTTCGTCAGTTTAGGCCGTTCGTCAGTTCAGGCCGCTCGTCAGTTTAGGCCGTTCGTCAGTTCAGGCCATTCGTCAGTTCAGGCCATTCGTCAGTTCAGGCCGTTCGTCAGTTTAGCCCGTTCGTCAGTTTAGGCCGTTCGTCAGTTTAGGCCGTTCGTCAGTTCAGGCCGCTCGTCAGTTTAGGCCGTTCGTCAGTTCAGGCCATTCGTCAGTTCAGGCCGTTCGTCAGTTCAGCCCGTTCGTCAGTTCAGGCCGTTCGTCAGTTCAGGCCGTTCGTCAGTTTAGGCCGTTTGTCAGTTCAGGCCGTTCGTCAGTTTAGCCCGTTCGTCAGTTTAGCCCGTTCGTCAGTTCAGGCCGTTCGTCAGTTTAGGCCGTTCGTCAGTTTAGGCCGTTCGTCAGTTCAGGCCATTCGTCAGTTCAGGCCGTTCGTCAGTTTAGCCCGTTCGTCAGTTCAGGCCGTTCGTCAGTTCAGGCCGTTCGTCAGTTTAGCCCGTTCGTCAGTTCAGGCCGTTCGTCAGTTTAGGCCGTTCGTCAGTTCAGGCCGTTCGTCAGTTCAGGCCGTTCGTCAGTTTAGGCTGTTCGTCAGTTCAGGCCATTCATCAGTTTAGCCCGTTCGTCAGTTCAGGCCGTTCGTCAGTTTAGGCCGCAAGTCAGTTCAGGCCGTTCGTCAGTTTAGGCCGCTCGTCATTTTAGGCCGCTCGTCAGTTTAGGCTGTTCGTCATTTTAGGCCGCATGTCAGTTCAGGCCGTTCGTCAGTTTAGGCCGCAAGTCAGTTGAGGCCGTACGTCAGTTTAGGCCGTTCGTCAGTTTAGGCCGTTCGTCAGTTCAGGCCGCAAGTCAGTTCAGGCCGCAAGTCAGTTCAGGCCGTTCGTCAGTTTACGCCGTTCGTCAGTTTAGGCCGCTCGTCAGTTTAGGCCGTTCGTCAGTTTAGGCTGTTCGTCATTTTAGGCCGCATGTCAGTTCAGGCCGTTCGTCAGTTTAGGCCGCAAGTCAGTTCAGGCCGTTCGTCAGTTTAGGCCACAAGTTAGTTCAGGCCGTTCGTCAGTTTAGGCCGCAAGTCAGTTCAGGCCGATCGTCAGTTTAGGCCGTTCGTCAGTTTAGGCCGCTCGTCAGTTTAGGCCGCTCGTCAGTTTAGGCCGCTCGTCAGTTTAGGCCGTTCGTCAGTTTAGGCCGCAAGTCAGTTCAGGCCGTTCGTCAGTTTAGGCCGTTCGTCAGTTTAGGCCGCTCGTCAGTTTAGGCCGCTCGTCAGTTTAGGCCGTTCGTCAGTTGAGGCCGTACGTCAGTTTAGGCCGTTCGTCAGTTTAGGCCGTTCGTCAGTTCAGGCCGCTCGTCAGTTTAGGCCGTTCGTCAGTTCAGGCCATTCGTCAGTTCAGGCCGTTCGTCAGTTTAGCCCGTTCGTCAGTTCAGGCCGTTCGTCAGTTCAGGCCGTTCGTCAGTTCAGGCCGTTCGTCAGTTCAGGCCGTTCGTCAGTTTAGGCCGTTTGTCAGTTCAGGCTGTTCGTCAGTTTAGCCCGTTCGTCAGTTTAGGCCGTTTGTCAGTTCAGGCCGTTCGTCAGTTTAGGCCGCTCGTCAGTTTAGGCCGTTCGTCAGTTTAGGCCGCAAGTCAGTTTAGGCCGTTTGTCAGTTCAGGCCGTTCGTCAGTTTAGGCCGCAAGTCAGTTGAGGCCGTACGTCAGTTTAGGCCGTTCGTCAGTTTAGGCCGTTCGTCAGTTTAGGCCGTTTGTCAGTTCAGGCCGCTCGTCAGTTTAGGCCGTTCGTCAGTTCAGGCCGTTCGTCAGTTCAGGCCGTTCGTCAGTTTAGCCTGTTCGTCAGTTCAGGCCGTTCGTCAGTTCAGGCCGTTCGTCAGTTCAGGCCGTTCGTCAGTTTAGGCCGTTTGTCAGTTCAGGCCGTTCGTCAGTTTAGCCCGTTCGTCAGTTTAGCCCGTTCGTCAGTTCAGGCCGTTCGTCAGTTTAGGCCGTTCGTCAGTTCAGGCCGTTCGTCAGTTCAGGCCGTTCGTCAGTTTAGGCTGTTCGTCAGTTCAGGCCATTCATCAGTTTAGCCCGTTCGTCAGTTTAGGCTGTTCGTCAGTTCAGGCCGTTCGTCAGTTTAGGCCGTTCGTTAGTTTAGGCCGCTAGACAGCTGAGGCCGCAAGTCAGTTGAGGCTGTTCGTCAGTTTAGGCTGTTCGTCAGTTCAGGCCGTTCGTCAGTTCAGGCCATTCATCAGTTTAGGCCGCGCGACAGGTTAGGCCACTCGTCAGCTGAGACCTCTCGTCAGTTTAGGCCGTTCGTCAGTTCAGGCTGTTTGTCAGTTTAGGCCGTTCGTCAGTTTAGGCCGTTCGTTAGTTTAGGCCGCTAGACAGCTGAGGCCGCAAGTCAGTTTAGGCCGTTCGTCAGTTTAGGCCGTTCGTCAGTTCAGGCCGTTCGTCAGTTCAGGCCATTCATCAGTTTAGGCCGCGCGACAGGTTAGGCCACTCGTCAGCTGAGACCTTTCGTCAGTTTAGGCCGTTAATCAGTTCAGGCCGTTCGTCAGTTTAGGTCGTTCGTCAGTTTAGGCCGTTCGTCAGCCGAGACCGCTCGTCAGTTCAGGCCGTTCGTCAGTTCAGGCCGTTCGTCAGTTCAGGCAGCTTCTTAATCAAAGTTTCAGGGAAAAGGTTGGACAGCTTCTGCCTTGTCTGATCTATTTTATGAGATCTTCAGTTATGAAGTGAGTCTGTCTTAACCTTATACTAAGCAGATTGCTGTGCACATTCCTAAGGATCTCTTCTTCCCTGTGTCCTTTGATAGTAGACTTCAGTTTTAAGCTATTGGGAACGAGTCTTTGCAGTCTACACCTTAAATTAAGCATTATTCTGAGGTTTTTTCCAAAAATGGAGTGGAATATGCTGGTGAAGATTCTCGGTCATCCAGGTTGGTCATAGTCATTCCAAAAAAGTTAAATAACTTTTTAAAGCTATTTACACCAACATGACCTGGATGACTGAGAATTTTCACCAGCATACTGTAGCTGTTAGATAAAGGGACAAGACCACCATTTGTTAAATATAACATAAAAGATACTTGCTTTTATTTGCTTCTAAGAGCAAACAAATAAAAGAGCCTGAGAGTTAGAAGTGTTCTTGCCGCACAGCATGCTCTTATAAACACAACTTGTTCAATGGCCTTCTGCAACAAAGCCACATGGTATGGGGAATCCCTGGATCACTTGTTAATTTATACAGCTAATGAAGCTAATAATAAAAATAATTCCCTTCCTGAGCAGCAGAACTTAACCGAAGCATTCAATAAGATCTCAGCAGTTAGATGAAAAAGAGAACAGGAAAAACAGAAGGTCCCTGAAAGAACTTTTACATTTGCCCTGTGAACACCACCACCACCACCTCCGGCCCCCCACCCACCCCACCACCATCTTTGGAAGGCTGTAGTCCGGATATGAACAACAAAAATGAGGACTATACCATAATTCCACCGTGTCCATTGTGTAACAAAAAGCAATTTAAAGCATTTGTCAGGGTGACAGCTCTTTCTTTCCCTAGATACTTTTCTAACTGCTGACCCCACTAAAGGTGAAGGGATAATGATAATAATAATAATTATTACCGTTGGTATTATAATCAAACATATCCAAAGCTAACTGAATCCCTGTTTTTTGTCAAACAGGATCACGAAGAACACAGTTACAGTTCTCTGAAGTCTAAAAACACCAGCGCTCTTGTGTCAGGACTGAAGCCCGGCACAAAGTACATCTTCCAGGTTCGTGCCAGAACCTCAGCCGGCTGTGGACGGTTCAGCCAGAACATCGAGATCCAGACTGGAAAAGCAGGTGAATTTAACACGGCTGTCACAAGGTCTTTCTCTCATTAGAGGAAATCTACTTAAGCTTCCTTCTCCGACTGGTCACATGAAATGGGACAAACCAGGACCAGCAATACCAACATTTAGCTCTGACCCTAAAAGGAGGAGGACCAAGCAATAATTTACCATGTTATTCATGCTGTTAACCAGGTTCCCAGCAGTTTTAGGAAGTTTATCCCTTATATGTCCTTTCCACAATTATACGCCAAGCCCCTGTTTGGGCTGTTTTTATCCTCTACCACCAAACAATAATAAATACTATTAAATAGTATTAAAAAAATGTCTATTTTGACTATATTTATCGTTTGTATAATCTGTTGGTTCAACTTATGGAAATTTGTGGCCACACATATACACTACCGTTCAAAAGTTTGGGGTCACCCAAACAATTTTGTTTTTTTCCTGAAAAGTCACACTTATTCACCACCATACGTTGTGAAATGAATAGAAAATAGAGTCAAGACATTGACACGGTTATTTGTATTTTAAAAAAGATTTTTTTTTACGTCAAACTTTCGTCAAAGAATCCTCCATTTGCAGCAATTCCAGCATTGCAGACCTTTGGCATTCTAGCTGCTCCCACAACAGCTCAATGGGGTTCAGATCTGGTGAATGCGCTGGCCACTCCATTACCCATAGAATACCAGCTGCCTGCTTCTGCTCTAAATAGTTCTTGCACAATTTGAAGGTGTGTTTAGGGTCATTGTCCTGTTGTAGGATGAAATTGGCTCCAATCAAGCGCTGTCCACTGGGTATGGCATGGCGTTGCAAATGGAGTGATAGCCTTCCTTATTCAGAATCCCTTTTACCCTGTACAAATCCCCCACCTTACCAGCACCAAAGCAACCCCAGACCATCACATTACCTCCACCGTGCTTAACAGATGGCGTGAGGCATTCTTCCAGCATCTTTTCATTTATTCTGCGTCTCACAAACGTTCTTCTTTATGATCCAAACACCTCAAACTTGGATTCATCCGTCCACAACACTTTTTTCCAGTCTTCCTCTGTCCAATGTCTGTGTTCTTTTGCCCATCTTAATCTTTGTCTTTTATTGGCCAGTCTCAGATATGGCTTTTTTCTTTGCCACTCTGCCCTGAAGCCCAGAATCCTGCAGCCGCCTCTTCACTGTAGATGTTGACACTGCTGTTTTGCGGGTACTATTTAATGAAGATGCCAGTTGGGGACCTGTGAGGCGCCTGTTTCTCAAACTAGAGACTCTAATTCAATTCAATTCAGTTTATTTATATAGCGCCAAATTCACAACACATGTCATCTCAAGGCACTTTACAGTTCAACCATACAGTCAAATTGATACAAAGTTTTCTATCTAAGGAAAACCAGTTGATTGCATCGACTCATTGACTCTTCAGCAATCCCTCACACTAAGCATGCTTGTAGCGACAGTGGAGAGGAAAAACTCCCTTTTAACAGGAAGAAACCTCCAGCAGAACCAGGCTCAGTGTGAGCGGCCATCTGCTGAGGCCCACTGGGGTTCAAGGAAACAGAAGCAGAGACACAAAAAGCAGCTGTAAAAGGCGGCCCCGTCCAGGAAACACACAGCCAGGCAGACGAGCTCCGAGCCAGCTCCCATGCCAGAGGATGAAGAGAGCACATCCACCCAAATGTACTTATCTTCTTGCTCAGTTGTGCAACGCGGCCTCCCACTTCTTTTTCTACTCTGGTTAGAGCCTGTTTGTGCTGTCCTCTGAAGGGAGTAGTACACACCGTTGGAGGAAATCTTCAATTTCTTAGCAATTTCTCGCATGGAATAGCCTTCATTTCTAAGAACAAGAATAGACTGTCGAGTTTCAGATGAAAGTTCTATTTTTCTGGCCATTTTGAGCGTTTAATTGACCCCACAAATGTGATGCTCCAGAAACTCAATCTGCTCAAAGGAAGGTCAGTTTCTTAGCTTCTGTAACTAGCTAAACTGTTTTCAGATGTGTGAACATGATTGCACAAGGGTTTTCTAATCATCAATTAGCCTTCTGAGCCAATGAGCAAACACATTGTACCATTAGAACACTGGAGTGATAGTTGCTGAAAATGGGCCTCTATACACCTATGTAGATATCGCACCAAAATCTGTACGTTTGCAGCTAGAATAGTCATTTACCACATTAGCAATGTATAGGGTGTATTTCTTTAAAGTTAAGACTAGTTTAAAGTTATCTTCATTGAAAAGTACATTGCTTTTCCTTAAAAAACAGGGACATTTCAATGTTACCCCAAACTTTTGAACAGTAGTGTGTATATAAGATGATTTTATTGAACTGGATGGCAGAGATCTTCACGGGGATTTACAAAACCAAGTGTTTGCAAGCTGTAATACAGACAGTAGAATAACTCAAAATGTTTATTTAACCAAGCGGGCTGCAGATCTGCAGTATCAGCGGCAAGGGCATCTTACACTGGAACCTTTGCAGGAGAGAAACACAGGTTAGTGATCGTGATAATCTAAAGAAGGATGATATATATGCATGAGTCACTGACCTGGTTTAAGAACTCAGGCTTAGAACTTCATGCTAATCCAGACATTTTGAATTGAGAAAGCTTCCTGGATGCAAAGCGAGATGTCTTCAAACTTGGAAAGAATGTCCATTGGATTGTTTTTTAACTTTGTTTGAAATACATCTTGTTTTCAGATTTAGAACATTTTAGGACTTTGGATTTGATTTATTTTGCTTGTCCTAAAGGTAGGCGCAGTTAGCCACAGCACCTTACGCAGGTCGGTATGTATGACCAATATTTGCAAAAGGTATCGGAAGAAGAAAAAGAAGGGACTTTCTCAGTTTATGTGAATGAAAAAATCATTTTAAAAGCTCAGAACATAAGACCCAGCATTCAAGCAGACAGGGGTACAAAAGGAGAATCCATGCCGAGGTCAGGAGACTGGACCAATGTCATTTAGCAGTCAGAATCCAAGAATCAGTCCAAAAACAGATCAGGAAAACAAAGTAGAAACAGGGGAAAAGCAAAACTCCGAAATCCAATGGCAGAAAATTGTCAGGATCAGGAAGTCAAAAACACACTGAAACACGGATAAACCGATAAACAGCTTTTTTATTTTTATTTTCTTACTCTCACAACCAGCTCTAACTATCTGACACCAATGACGTGGAACAGGCGGCTTAAATAGAAGCAGAACAGGTGGATCTGTTTAGAGACAATGAGTGCGGGGCGGAGCAAAGCAAATAAGAGAAAGGAGCCAAAATGAGCCATAAATGCCAAGACCATGACGTATAAATTCTATATTCTTAGAATTTGGAGGCCCATATAGTAAAAAAAGGTTCTTGAATCTAGAATCTTCCTACTGTTTCAGTCAAGGAATAATGAGAAGTTTATGTCCAGGTTATTATCTTCATTGAAAAAAAAAGCCTTTTTCACAATTAATCATCACATTATCTTTCCAGACAACCTTTTTAAAACCTTTTCTATCGAATTATTACAGCATTAGTAATTGTCATTGTCCGCAAAACAAAAGATAAATTCAAGTAGTGATGGGTCGGGAAACACCGATGCGTCGCTGCATGTGTCGGTCTCATAGAGCGAAACCTGTGTCGATGTGTGTATCGCTACGGAAAAGTCACGTGACCGAAACAGTTCCTGTATCGGTCACGTGACCGATGTTTCGAACTGATTGACAAGCCTTTATAAGGATGCGCATCTGCCAAAACAATCTTGCGTGTTTTGCGAATATAAAATTCATCAAAAAATTATGGAGCTTCCTCAAGCAAAAAGAAAGGTTTCTGCCGTGTGGGACCACTTTGATGTCATTTCGGAAAATAAGGTATTTGTTTTAATTTCCTTGTTTCATCCTGTTCCTCTCAGAGTTTCCACTTGATTTTCTGAGTAGAAATTCATTTCAAAGTGACCTTTAGTTTACTGTTCGTGTTATTTTCTACAGGTTAAATGTCGCAATTGCTCAACAGAGCTTGCATATTTAAATAACAGCACCTCCTCAATGCTGAGGCATTATAAGGCCAAGCATGAGCGTGAAATCCATGATACACCCATGATGAACTCAGGTATACAGGTATTTTACAACTTACTGACTTTGTTTTATTGATAATTCTGAATAATTTATACTTTCTCATTTTTAACCATCAAGCTTCCAGGAAGCAGATGCTTGATGAGGCTGTGCTTAATTTCATTGTAAAGGACTGCCAGCCCCTCGCTGTTGTGGAGAATGAAGGGTTCAGGGAGCTGGTTCAGCTCCTTGAGCCCTCATATGTTTTGCCAACCAGAAAGGTTTGTGTGGAAATTATCTAAAGTGGTAGTTTATTCATCAAATTTATTTTAAATATATTGATTTTCTTCTGGTTTGACTTGGTGTGGTTTTCAGACCATCAAACAACTGTTGGCCAAAAAGTACGAGGAGGAACGGGAACGAGTGAAAATGGAAGTACAGCAGGCTGCGGACAGAATGTGCCTCAATAGTTGGAAGCTCAAATGAGCCCCAGCCGGGAACATCTTCACAACAGCTGTCTGCCCCCACTTCAGGCATGATATTGAGCATCATTTCTTTGTTGTTTGTAAATCATGTACTAAAATACTTTTTTTATTTATTTATTTTTTTTTTAAGATGACCTTTGGGAACATTTTGATCTCGAAGTGGGGAGGCAGACCAAAAGTGCCACAGCTGATGCCATCCTTGAGGTGCAGAGATACATGGCAGAGGGCAATATTGCGAGGTCCCAGGATCCTCTTGTATATTGGAAAAACTAAAGGACGGTTTATCCAAACCTCTTCCGCCTGGCCTTAAAATTTTTGTGCACTCCAGCTTCATCTGTGACGTGTAAGCGGGTGTTTTCCACAGCTGGAGAACTAATATCAAAAAAGCGCAACAGACTGAATTTCAAAACGTTGCAACAACTTATTTTTTTGAATAAAAAATTGTAAAAAGTGAACAAGCATCTTCATTTACTACATGTTTACTTAGAGATTATTACATTATGATGCAGGTTCTCATTATTCATTGACTGTCTAAAATATCAAATATGTTTTAATAATAATAATACAATGCATCATACAATGAATTGCATATTAGTGTATATAATAGGTCATCAAATCAGTGTCAGTTAACTCTGTCAACTAGGTTGCCTGTAGGGATTTTTAATGTCCAGCAGGTGTCAGTATTCAGTGACACAGTATCGACACAGTATCAATACAGTTTGGTAATGTGTCGAAACGTTTCATGACGCCTCATCAACCCATCACTAAATTCAAGATAATGCAAAGAATCGGTAGGTCTTTAACCACATTTCATGGATTTTGAAACTACTGCACAGCAAGCCAAAAAAGTGATATAAAAAAAAAGGATTCAAAATCCAACAGAAAATAACAAACACACCAGAACCAAGGAGACATCAGGGGTAAACCAAAACTCTAGGAGCCAGGGAGAGACGAGGTAAGCAGACAGACGTTAGACGAGGATCCAGCAAACAGGAACTGAAGAGGGAGGCTTTTAAAGGGGACAGAGACAAAGGGAAGGCTAACGAGGGGATTGAAAACAGGTGAGGACAGAGCAGAAAACAGAGCAAGGGAAAGAGGACACAAGAGGGCAGCAGAGGACAACAAATGGAAAACCAAGAAAAACAGGAACTAACAAACCAAGACTCTGACAATTATTAGAAAATGAATGACAATTAATGATATTTACCATAGAAAGCACCTGTCCTAGAAAAAAAGAGCTGCTGAAAAAATAATCAAAGTAAATATACAGTAAGTAGTAAACTATACTTATACTCCAAGAAATTCAAAATACATGCCCACCCCACCTTTCCTAAGCATTAGGTACCTTTATGTCAAGGTCCGAGTAAAAACTGTAGTGTTGAAGCCTTTCCTCCACTAATTTTACCTTGTATGTGTTTCCGCAGCTCCTTTGCATTACAACACAATGACCATCATTGGGATCTCAATGGCCCTGGTGTTTGGCCTTGTCACTTTCTTGGCCATCATCCTCTGCAGGAAACGGCAAGGCTACACTTTACCACACTACCCTTCGCTGCTGTGTGTTGAACACTTTCTTATGATACTGTCCCTCTTTATATAACTTTATGTTTGATAGAATGATCTGTATATATAAAAAGAGATATCTGTCTTTGCCACTTTGGCTGCATGTAAAATGAATAATGCCATTAAACAGGAATAGGAAATTAAAATATTGATCAGTGATAATTATTGGCATAACAAAATGTCATGACTTTGAAACACCATGGTATTTCTTCTCAAATTTAAGTTGGTTTAGCAATTTTATATTAGAAAATTATATTAGCTATACCTTGGTCTAGTTTTCTCAGTGAACAGCAAGTGCTGCAGGTGACCCCTTCTCAAGCAGCCAAGGCTTTGCCCTGTAGAAAAAGTCATTATCGGACACCTTAAAAGTGTATGTATGCAAACAGCTTTCGAGGATCTGGCAGTTACCCACTAGGAGAGCCAGGAATATGTCATGTGCAGCAACTCCCAGTAGTAGGGCCTGCCATAGGTGTAATCCAAGCCCACTGAAACAGGAAGTGATGTCATGGGACTGTATACCGCAGCTTCTACAGCAGAAATCATTACAGAGGTCCTCTGGCAAATTAATTCCCAGTTCTTGGCCAGAGGCAATGCTTTTAACCTCTCTTTGAATAATACTTCTCAATATAGAACATTACTTTATAACAGGACTTAAGCTCAACAGCAATTTCCTTTAACCAGATAGAGGAGGTGTTTGAACATTAGTGCTGGGCCCCCTACTATTCAATTCAATTCAGTTTATTTATATAGCGCCAAATTCACAACACATGTCATCTCAAGGCACTTTACAGTTCAACCAGATCATACAGTCAAATCGATACAAAGTTTTCTATCTAAGGAAAACCAGTTGATTGCATCGACTCAAATTACAATCCCTCACACTAAGCATGCTTGTAGCGACAGTGGAGAGGAAAAACTCCCTTTTAACAGGAAGAAACCTCCAGCAGAACCAGGCTCAGTGTTAGCGGCCATCTGCTGAGGCCGACTGGGGTTCAAGGAGACAGAAGCAGAGATACAAAAAGCAGCTGTAAAAGGCGGCCCCGTCCAGGAAACACACAGCCAGGCAGACGAGCTCCAAGGCAGCTCCCATGCCAGAGGACGAAGAGAGCACATCCACTCAGTCACGGTCAGAGAAACAGGACCACACTGGAAAACAGGCCGATCTCCAACATCTATAAACAAGGGTGTTGATGGAAGCAGCACAGCTGATGTTTCTCTCCAGGATGACGTCACAGCCAAACAGGAACAGACGAGGCAAAGCTACTCTGAGGAAAAGCAGAGAGAGCAGAAGGTTAGAGATTGAACTAACAGATTCTGCAGAATAGGAGAACAGAGAGAGAATGAAGCAGAATGATGAAATGGGGGTCCTTATGTCCTCCAGCAGTCTAAGCCTATAGCAGCATAGCTATAGAGATAGCTCAGGATAACCTGAGCCACTCTAACTAGAAGCTTTATCAAAAAGGAAAGTTTTAAGCCTAGCCTTAAAGTAGACAGGGTGTCTGCCTCACGGACTAAAACTGGTAGTTGGTTCCAAAGGAGAGGAGCCTGATAACTAAAAGATCTGCCTCCCATTCTACTTTTAGAAATTCTAGGAACCACTAGTAAACCTGCAGATTGAGAGCGAAGTGCTCTGTTAGGAACATAAGGAACAATCAGATCTCTGATATCAGATGGAGCTTGGCCATTTAAGGCTTTATATGTGAGAAGGAGGATTTTAAATTCTATTCTGGATTTAACAGGAAGCCAATGAAGAGAAGCCAGGATAGGAGAGATATGATCTCTCTTTTTAATTTTCATTAGAACTCTGGCTGCAGCATTTTGGATCAGCTGAAGGCTTTTAACTACAGTTTGTGGACTTCCTGATAGTAAAGAATTACAATAGTCCAGCCTTGAATTAACAAATGCATGGACTAGTTTCTCAGCATCACCCCTGGACAGGATATTTCTAATTTTTGCAATGTTCCTCAGATGAAAGAAGGAAATTCTATAAACCTCTTTGATCTGGGATTTAAATGACAGGTCCTGATCAAAAATAACACCAAGATTTTTTTATTTCTTATCTGAAATCAGTTTAATCCCATCCAAATGAAGTGACTGGCTAATCAGCTTCTTTTTCAGAGACTCTGGTCCAAAGACTATAACTTCTGTTTTATCTGCATTCAGAAGCAGAAAGTTAAGAGTCATCCAGGTTTTTATGTCTTCAAGACATGCCTGTAATCTATGTAATGGGTTAGCTTCATCTGGATTATAGACAGATATAGCTGGGTATCATCAGCATAACAGTGGAAATTAATCCCATGCTGTCTAATAACTCTACCAATTGGGAGCATGTATAAAGTAAAGAGAATTGGTCCTAGCACTGATCCCTGTGGTACTCCACAGGTAACCTTTGAGCGTGTTGAAGATCTATCATTAACATTAACAAACTGAATTCGATCAAATAGATAAGATTTAAACCAGTCTAGTGCTGTTCCTTTAATTCCAACAAAATATTCAAGTCTTTCTAAAAGAATATTATGGTCAACTGGATCAAATGCAGCACTAAGATCCAACAGGACGAGCACAGATACAAGTCCATTATCTGAGGCCATGAGAATATCATTAGTGACTTTCACCAGAGATGTTTCAGTGCTATGATGAGCTCTAAAGCCAGACTGAAACTCTTCAAAAAGTTCATTATGGTGTAGGTGATCGCAAACTTGTTTGGCAACTACTTTCTCAAGAATTTTGGATAAGAAAGGAAGATTGGATATAGGTCTATAATTGACCAAGTCATCTGGGTCAAGAGACGGTTTCTTAAGCAGAGGTTTAATTCCCTCAACCTTAAAAGCTTTAGGTACATATCCCTGTAACAGAGATAGATTAATCACATCTAAAATGGAGGAGGAGATCAAAGGGAATACCTCCTTAAATAACCTGGTTGGAACTGGATCTAACATACAAGTTGAAGGCTTAGATGAAGACAATAATTTTGCTAATTCAGAAAGTTCAACTGGATCAAAGCAGTCTAAACCCGGTTCAGATTCCATGACTACCTCAGGTACAATCGCGGATAGAGGAGTGCTTATGATCTTATTTTTAATAAGATCAATCTTATTTATAAAGAATCCCATAAAATCATTGCTGCTAAGAGCAGGTGGAATGGACGGTTCAACAGAGCTATGGCTCTGGGTGAGTTTGGCAACTGTATTAAAAAGAAATCTAGGATTATTCTTATTCTCTCTATTAATGAGGAGAAGTATGCTGCTCTTGCTTTACAAAGGGTCCTCTTATACAGCAGTAAACCATTTTTCCAGACTAGGAAGGACTCCCGCAGGCCTGTGGAGCGATATTTTCTCTCCAGTTTCCTAGCATTTTGCTTCAAAGTACGCAGCTCTGCATTAAACCAAGGAGCAAGCTTTCTATTTTTAACAGTTTTCATTTTCAAAGGAGCTGCGTTGTCTAAGGCAGCACGCAGATAACTAGCAACCCCATCAACAAAATCATCAACCTGTGAAGGGGAATAAGCTATGCTTTTGCACTCTGCAGCACTGCTCAGCGACACAGAGGAGAGAGAAAGTGAAGCAGATTCTTTAAAATTTATAACTGCACTATCTGATAAAGATCTACTAAAATTGAACCTTCTTTTGGGGGAGGAGAACTCTGTTAAAGTAATCCTGAAGGTTATTAGAAAGTGGTCAGAGAGGACAGGGTTGTGAGGAAATACTGTTATTTCTTCACATTCTATGGCGTATGTCAGCACAAGATCCAAAGTATGAAGATGAGAATGTGTGGGACTATTCACATTTTGAACAAAGCCAATAATGTCTAAGATAGCATAAAAGGCTGCTCTTAAGCTATCGCCTTCAATGTCAGCATGGATGTTAAAATCTCCCACCATGATGACCCTGTCAGTATTTAATACCAAATCAGAAAGGAACTCTGAAAACTCATCTAAACATTCAGAGTAAGGACCTGGTGGACGATACAAAGTTACAAAAAGAAGAGGTTTTCTTGCCTTGAAATTTGGATCAGGGAAATTAAGGGTTAAATGTTCAAAAGAGTTGTAGGTATTAACTGTTTTGGGAGTAATCAGTAAGTCAGACTGGAAGATTGTTGCTACTCCTCCTCCTCGCCCAGAACTTCTGGGGATGTGAAAATTTAAATAGCTTGAAGGAGTTGCCTCATTTATGCTCACATAATCCTCTTGCTGCAGCCAGGTTTCTGTAAGGCAACACAAGTCAATGTGATTATCACAAATCAAGTCATTAACTCGTAGACTTTTAAAGGAAAGAGATCTTATGTTAAACAGACTGCATTTAATTGTTTTAACTTTTTCCCCAATTGGAGTTATTTTGATTTTAATTAGATTATCATGATTTACTCCTTTGGGAATCTTTGCTAATTTATTAGATTTTGGTCGTGGACAAGACACTGTCTGGATGGAGTAAAGAGTGGGTAACAGTAGAGAAGCTGTGGAGATGTGTGTTAAACTACAACTCTGCTTCCTGGTCTGCACCCTGGGGGGTCAGGGTTTTGGAGGACTAATAAATGTGGCCAGATTCCTAGAAAGAAGAGCTGCACCATCCAAAGTGGGATGGATGCCGTCTCTCTGAATCAGACCAGGCTTTCCCCAAAAGGATTGCCAATTATTAATGTAGCCCACGTTGTTTTCAGGACACCACCTAGACAACCAGCGGTTGAATGACGACATGCGGCTAAACATGTCATCACTGGTCAGATCAGGGAGGGGACCAGAGAAAATTACGGAGTCCGACATTTTTTTGGCAAACTTACACACCGAAGCAACACTAATTTTAGTGACCTCCGATCGGCGTAACCGGGTGTCATTACCACCAGCGTGAATAACAATCTTACTGTATTTAACCTTATCCTTAGCCAGTAGTTTCAGGTAGGATTTGATGTCGCCCGTTCTGGCCCCCGGCAAACATTTGACTATGGTCCCTGGTGTCTCTAACGCCACGTTTCTGACTATGGAGCTGCCAATCACCAGA